CTGGCGTTTGAACTCTTGGATCAATTGTTATCGGTGGAAACCAAGGTGATGTAATTGTATTTATTATTTCCCTATGTCTCCACCTTATGTTCTGCTTAGGCGTAACATTCTGTAGAATATTTTCATAGGCGGAAGGAATTTCTACGTCATGGCTAGTGTTTGTATCTGGATGTTGTAATCCGGAGCCAGAAGGCTCCGGATTACTCATTTCCACCCACAATGAGCTAGCTATTTCATCATCATCTGAATCCGGTGGGAGTACTTCTCGTTGGTTTCGGTTGATGACATCTGCACCCAACCGAACAGAGCGCAGCTCCCGTTCAGACGCAACTTCAACTGGTTCTTCATCATCAGAAGATAACAGCAAATCAGAAAGATTTCCGTCTTCTAATGCTCTCAAAACGTCCCGTGGAAACATAATTTGGTACTTTAATATCTGAAAATAGTATATAAAACACAATTTGTAACATAAAAAACAACAAAATTGTTCACTTGAATAACAATTACCTACCTACGAAGAACTTGAACAAATCGGTAATATATCGTATACGCCTGATGTGTACATTTGTGTACAAATATAAAGTTCGTTAAATTTTGAACAAAAATAAACTAAATCTACCAACATATATGTTACATATGGCTACAATAGTATAACCCATCGACTCATAATTTTTCTCTTAAAAATATTTCAATGTTTTCTACTTTTTAGAAATAAAATAATGAGCTTACCTGCACAGTTCAAACTTCGCCCGGCCACTGGTCAAACTTGTCAAAAAAAATGCCAAGGTACGCTAACAGATGGCGTTGGCGGTATCGATTTTGTTAGTTTATTGTGTGAACAAATGTGCACAACCGTTTTGAGTTACAAATATTGCGAAAGGTTACTTAAATTAATTTTTATATTATATGTGTACATTTGTGTACGCCAGGTCTGAAAGGGTTAAAATAGAAAAATGAATTAGAATTTTTAATTTTTGAATTTAGATAACTTTCAAAGATATTTCATGTTTAGTAATTTATAAGCAATTTTATTACTTAAAATTACAAAAAAAAAACACACCAGAAGAAAATAGATAATATTTGCTGAGACACCCCTAACTCCCACTAAATAAAATAAAATAATTTTCTGTTTGTTAACGTTGGACTTAAGTGTAGGCTAAAATAAAAATGTATTTAAATTTATAACACTTTAGAATAACCATATCCAAACTCCAGATAATAACACCATCAGTTATACGTATCTGATATTAATTTCTTTTTATTCAGAATCGGACCAAGGCTTCCGTTGTAACCCTGGCGAGCAGTTCAAACGTGACTGCAACGACTGCACCTGTTCAGCAGATGGCAGGAGTGTGTTCTGCACACTGCGTTTATGCGACGAGGCTTTAACATCAGACATTTAATTTCAAGCCCTACACTTATCTTGATATGCACACGAATTCCATAGTTTTCAAGCTGTTTTTGCGCTCCTTAGATGGCGCTGTTGTAGATTAAAGTCCTTTTTTCGTTTTTTTATTGATTTCTCACGAAATTTCTTTTTTTTTAATATATGTAAAATGTTTTGGCTATTCATAATTGTTTTATGATATTAATCATCATTAATTTATGTTGTGTTTTTTTTACTTATAACCACCAGTGAATATGAAAACCTTTATTGTTTTATAATGAAAATGTGATTTTATAAATTTCGTGTCATTTCAAGATAAGTTTTTGTTTTCGTAGCAGCTGTGCAGTCGATCAGACTCCAAGTTAGTCGATTTGACGATCGAATAATTGTGTGCATTAGTATCATTTCAATGTTTTGTGTTTTTTAAGTATTTTGTGACTAATTTTACTTAGTATGTAATACGAATGAACGATTAGTTATTTCATGTAATTGTACAATATCTACGCACAACATTAGTTAAAAATAATTATTTTGGTAGCATCGATTATTTTTGAAAAAAAATCTACTAAAGGGACGTTATAAGTCGATTATATTCGACTAGCAGCGAATAATCGATGAATCGAATAGTTTTGTTTGAATACTGAAAGTATAAGTACATTTATTAGATTCCCGTGCCTTGTATTCAGTTTACGTATTAGTAAACTAAATTATTTTTATAATAGTAAGTGTGAATTGTCTATTTTCATATAGATGTGAGTGTGTGTCATCGGCATTTTCAACTAAGTTGGCTAACGCGCGATTTTCGTGTGTAAATGCTTTGTTTTTCATTTCATCTTCATTCCTCTAGGATAAGTATTGTGTGGGCCGAGTGAGTAGCCTAATGATTTCAATATAGCAAATTTTATAACAGTACAATATGCTAGTACAGATACGTAACTGATTTTTTATTCAAATAAATATTGATAAGGCAATTACTTAATTTATGTTTTTTTTTTATCTATTTACTTATAAAAATTATTAAAAACAAACTAAAAAAATACCTATCACAAAAAAAAAAACAATTTAAGTAGTCGATTTTTTTAAATTGTTTAGTCGATTTTCTGAATTCGGTTACTCGCTCGGCGGACGAATAGTATCACTTGGATGTTTAGTAGTTAGTGAATTAATAGTAATATGTGGCTTAACTTAGTTAATACGTACCATCATGTATTAGGCGATACGTAATTAAAACTTAAATAATTTGAGTTAAAAATAATTATCATGGAACGAATAAACGAGTTTATTTTATTGTTTTGTGTTTTTTTTTTCTAGCACAATCCGACATGCTACCATCTTACTAATATTATACCTAAAATTGATGTACATATGTTTGTGTAATGCTGTTCTTTAACGCAAAAATGGATGGACCGATTTAGTTACAATTTGGTATGTGGATAGGCTATACCCTTGATGAATATACATAGGCTATTTTAGACTAATTTTTATCTACCACGTACCAGTACCTTTTTAAGTATTTCAAACTGTGTCTTTTTGTTTTGTGTTTGTGTGTTTGTATTTTTTGGTGAGCCGTTTTGGCGTAATTGAGTAACAAACATCCGAACATCGTAACTTTCGCATTTATAATATTAGTAAGAAGTAATATAGAAAGATTAGTACGATATGAAAATTTTAAAACAAAAAAAATGACGAAGGATTAATTATATATGTAGGTATTTTATGTTTGTAACTACGCCCAATTGAGGCTATAAAAATTAATAGCGTACTTTCATTAATTACTTGATCATTTTATAATCTTTACGCAATGAGAAAGTTAATCGAACGTGACCAATAGATGGCGTTGTTTTCATTATGTATTATTAAGGGCAGAAAATCGAAGCATGTTGATCGGTCTGGCCACGTTTGTGCCAATTATTGTTATATTGAACGGCTTAGACACGACTTTATGTGAGTATTTTTCTTTGTACATTAATAATACCTTATTTTTTTATGCACAATTATAAGATTATCGCAAATTATTAAGTAGTACCTATTAGTTGTATTTATGCATAATTTCTTGATATGTTGAAAATAATTAGGAGTTAGGTTAGATAATATCTACTAATGAATACGGGGTTTAAATTTTACTTTATGATATGTCATCGAAAACGTAAGAATATATATTATTATGTGATCACCACGATTACGGCCCGGAGCAGGAAGAGGTGATTTTTAAAACATGAACAGAGAGCGAGAAAGAGGGATGGAGCTATACACCTTTTATAGCTCCATCTCTCTTTCTCTGCAAAAATCTAAAGCGTCATGGTAGGACCTCTGTTCCTATTTCAAAATCACCCCGTTCCCGTCCCCGGTGAGAAAGAGGGATGGAGATATACACCTTTTATAGCTCCATCCCTTTTTCTCGCCCGGAAGATTAACGCAATAACACGTCATGGTAGGCCTACAGTTAGGAATCTGACACTCTCTCATACCACCCAGGATGGGAAAAGTCTTTTGATGGTTTTCATTCCTCAAAAAGGCATATTAAAGGTAGAGATTTTCACCCTACCAAAAAATTCTGCCTGCCTGCTTTTTACCATTTAGTATGTTAGTATAGTTTTATTTTTTTTTGGATTAATTACGTGATCTGAAATAAAACTTATACTTACATATTTATAACAACTTACTAAAAAATCATATGCCTAGCTATAATAAGTAAAATTATAAACATATTTTTATATGATAGGATACGAAAATTAAAAATCAAATTAGTCCGTCAATTAGCTGATGAAGAAAAAAGAACAAAAAAGAAGAAGACATTGCATTTTGTTTGTTTTGTTAAAATAAAAAATACTTTTAAAAGTGGTCTAATTCCCCCTCTCCTCCCTCCAGCCATCTCTCCTCAATCCAAAAATCCTCAAAACCCAAAACAACATCAGAAAAGTTGCTGGGGTGTCTCCAAAAGGTCGGCAACGCACTCGTAACTCCTCCGCCGTTCCGGGTCCATGGGCGGCGCTGATATCCATCAATTAGGTATTTAGTCCGCTCATTTGCCGCTATAAAAACAGCCATGCCAAAAAAACAGTTCAATTTTTTAAAATTATACATATACAAGACGAGCCTTGAAAGAATTCAGTCACCAAAAACTGTTTTTATGTGATAGGTCGGCAAACAAGCAAATGGATTACCTGATAGTAAGCAATTAACGCCACCCATGGACACCCGGAACGACGGAGGAGTTTCGAGTGCGTTGCCGACTTTTTTTAGAGATTAGGGATTTGGAGATTTTGGGAATGAGGAGGGATTGGGGGAGGGGAAGGATTGGGCCTCCGGTAACCTCACTCACACGGCGAAACACGACGCTGTGGTTGTTTCACACCGGTTTTCTGTGAGGCCGTGAAATGGGTCGGCTCGACCTGACCCATTCGTGCCGGAGCATGGCTCTCCTACGCTTTCATAATTGTGTCAAACAAATAAATAAATCTCTAGTATTTTTCAGTAAAAGACGGACTAAAGAGGTTTTTATTTTTAACAGCTATAGTAGACCATGCGATTTTTTCTCTTATTTGTAAGTAGATACAGTTAAAATTAGTTTATACTTGGCCTAGTGGAGCCGGTGAGGCAATGTGTGCCCACGATGTTAGTTCGGGGTCCGTCACATGTCTGCATTTGTACCTCTGAGGGAATCTTCCATTGCCGGCCAAAGAAGTTTGAAGAGGATGAAGCACTAAGTAAGTAAAATCATTTCATTTAAGATTAGGTAATTCAAAGGATCCACTAACCGTCAAAGTCGTGGTGGCCCGGAGCTTAAGGAGGATTCGAAACCTGGCAAGTACCAATGTGACTTTATACGAGTCATATGTACTTTCTAATATTATTTAGACACCACTGACATTCGGTGATTGTATTTATAATTTCTAATTTAAAATCGCCAATCAGCCTTGAACGAGGGTGATTGATACTCTAACCTTCTCCGAGTGAGAAGAGGCCTTTGCTCAGCAGTGGACACTTATAGGCTGATGATGATGACGTATGTCTCTCAGATAAAGAATAATGAAAGCATTTTGTATGAGCTATCTGCTAATTTTTATCGAGTACTTGCCAAGGCAGCTGTGAGACTAGCCCATAATCTTTAAACTCGAGTTCACAATTTACCTACAAGAAGTTGCGAACGTCTATTTAAAGACACAAAAAAGGTCTCAAAAAAAGATTTTTCATTAAAAAACTGAAACCAAATCCTTAGCAATTGTGTTCAGACCAAAATTGTTACTAAGACATAATTATTTAAGTAATCATCAAAATGTATTGGAATGTTAGTCAGTGTCTTATACGACAAGTTTTGGCAGAAATTTCAAGGGTTCAATTTCTGCACTGAATAACTATATAAGACTGCAAGGTTGGCGCTATGTCCGTGCAAGGTATCGCGGGATGCGATTCCCGTATGCAGCAGCGCTTTGTATGATCCATAAATTGTTGTTTCGTATCTGGGTGGCTTGTGTGTGTGAATTTTCATGTTTGTTAACGTGCACACGATAGACACACACGCGACTATTTTTTTATTTGTGTAGGTATCTCAAAATTAGGGTCTCAAATCCATCCAAAAAGTATGGTATGTAAGTATGCGAAAGTTGTAAATAGCAGCCTAGCTATAACCTACGTTGAGAAAGCGAGATGAACTGTCTAGAGCAGGCCAGGCAACTAATGCTGATTCCTTTTTCGTATAGAAAGAGGCCTTTCGTTTTAACTCCAAAAGGAACTGTAAACCTTCTAACCTATTCTTGTAGACTAAATAAAAATTTCTTTAACGAAAATGTAAGAGACTGACTGATTTATGAAAATAATATTCACAAAACAATAAACTATAACATCCATATATAATTTTTGCAGACGATCAATCTACAGAAGATTGCGAACCCAACTATTTGTACCGACAGAAAAACTTATTCTGCACATGTAGCGCTAACGGTACTTGGGAATCCAAGAACTGCGAAGATCACTTCCACTACCTGCGACCAAGAAAGCGCATTTATAACTATCACTTAAAGACCAATATCGCGTGCTCGCCGAACGATTTATTCCTTATCGATTGTAACTTATGTCGATGTTCCACCAAGGGCTTAATCGATGTAACTTTATGCACGAAAAGACTCTGCGGCCAAGGTCATAAGGTCGATGATTGCGCGTACGGGGACATGCTCCGCACTGAAAATGAGATGTGCCGTTGTAGCGATATCAACTATTACATAGACCGTCTTTGCATAAAAGTCTTAAAGGATCCGGTCCAAAAAATTCCAGCTAAAGAAATTTCCAAATTAGATGATATTGAAAAAACTGTTTGTAATTCAGAGATGGTATATCAAGTAAACTGCAATACATGCATTTGTAAAGACGGTAACCTTGTGTGCACTGATACAGCTTGTGAGCACAAAAAGAGCACAAAAATGCCTTTACGAGCAAAAAAGACGAATGAGATTAAATCACTACCAAGACTAAAAAGTATGAATGCTGTATGTGAACCTGGGAAGAGGTACCGTTATAAGTGTAATGTCTGTTCTTGTACTAAAGATGGCTCCCCATCTTGCACTACGATGATTTGCTTGGAAAATTACGTGTTAGATATAAAATCACTCAGAGGACTGTTGTCTAGTATAAGTGTAGCGAGCTCTTAACAGAAATAGTGTTATTAATAGCAGTGTTTGTAATAGTTTTTTTTCTGTACATTTATTAGAATTAGTTAGATATTTTGAATTGTATTCTTATTTTTAATTAGGTTCGTTTTAAGAAATTACTTTTCAATAGTTAATATAATTTATAATAAATGCGTTACCGAGGCACCATACTGTTAATAGAAAACATTGCATTTCAATTCTATTTTATAATCCGATTCTAGCCGCAGATGTGGCGATAGCCAGGAAGCTACCAGAGATTAAATATGGGATGAAATGCGTTCAAGGGCAGACCTACAAGATGGCCTGCAACACATGCCGTTGTGGCAACAAAAACAATTTAGTATGTACAAAGGTGCTATGCATTCACGATGTTAACGAGGAAATAAATGGCGACTCTGATTCAGATACACAACCTACAAAAACAAATAGCAGCTCGGCTAAAGTCAAGAATAAGAGAATAAGAAGAATTATCAGAAGGGAGAATAATAGATACCTAAGGACAGACACAACGGGGTTTCCTAATCTCCCACCCAATAAAGTTTGTGTGCCAGGAAAAATTTATCAGGATAATTGCAGAAGATGCTACTGCAGGGCAAACAGAACGCCAACCTGCTCGAATGAGGATGCATGCAAACAACCAATAGGTAAAATAGAAAACGTTTCATGAAACTCTTATCGATTTTTATGAAATAGGAATCAAACAAGTGGAATAATCAGGCGATGGTCAGCGATCAGCTTTGTTCAAGTGCCTTGCCAGCCTTTGAAAGGAGTATGGATATTTTAGGTGATTGGAAAATAAGCAAACTGATTACCTGATGGTAAGCTATCGGCGCCGCAGATAGACACTAGGTGAATTACAAGTGCATTGCCGTTCTTTTGGGGATTAGGGTTTCGGAGACTAAGGGATCGGGGAGGGGTAGGAGGAACTTGGAAAGGATTGAGCGTCCGGCAACCTCACACACACGGAGAAACACAATATTGTGGTTGTTTCACGCCGGCGTGGTATCATTCCTGTTTTATTTTAAGCCCACTTTAGTTTTAAATAGAGAACATATCGGCAATACCTTTGACACTTGGACAGGCACACTAATGCGAACTAACACAAGACTTTACAAGAGTAATTCCAATTTTAAAATTATTTATTCATATTTTCATATATCAATGACGAAATAAGTTAATCGATTGTTTTGGACCATTGAATGACATCGTACTTGTGTTTTAATTTTCGGTTAATATCTGGGTATTTTCTGTCAAGGCTCTCTAGAGTTATGTAATTAATCTAGATAAAGAACAAACCATATAACATGTTTTATGTTTCAATTCTGTTTCAGTGGCTCGAGATTTGAAACCAGAAGATGTTCGGTCTCCGATAAAAGATAAAGAGTTTATGAATCTACCTGAGCTACCCCACACCGCTTCGCCCTGCGTACCAGGCACTACATACAAAATCGATTGCAATGTTTGTCTCTGCGATGAATTCCAGAATCTGATGTGCGACAAACTTTTATGCATAAGCTTCGCTGACATGCATAAAGCGGAGGCTATCAAGAAATCTGGTACGTATTTATTATCTTAGAACGCAGATAAGTCTCCGTAATCGACATCAGTTAAGAATGCACTAATTCATCAGCTACTTACTATCAATTAGAACTTTAAAAGACTTCTAGGCCTCATTTTCTCAGACGCAGCGTGTTGCACGTGTCGAATTTTCTTCTTACATTGTGCAGCAGCTGTCTGCTTATCGCTACAATGAGCAATAAGCAATGTACGACGAACGTTCATGCGCTTCCGTAATCAGCTTCAGCCTATAAGTGCCCACTGCTGAGCAAAGACCTCTTCTCACAATGAAAAGGTTTGAGCATCAATAATTTTCGCTTGCTCAAGGCGGATTGGCGATCTTAAACTTGTAATTAGAAATTATCAGTCCAAGTTTCCTTACGATGTTTTCTTTCAATGTATGATAGTGGTGTCTAAATAATCACAGAAAGTACATATAACTCGGAAAAAGTCACATTGGTACTTGCCAGGTTTCGAACCCTCTCCTCACCGACCTTCGGGACAATATGACGCCTCTGCAAACAAGGCCTAATATTAAGAAATGTTTAATTGGTTCTTTTAAGGTCTTCCGTGCAACAACAAGGATTTTACAGAGAATATGGTTCTGCAGTCCAAATGCGTTGAATGCACCTGCAACGGCACCACTTATTGCGTTGCAAAAGACAATTGCATCAGTGAAGCTGAGAGCCTACAGCGGGCTCACGGTTCGAGAAGATCATTCGATATAAATTCAGGGCAATGCTTGCCTAATCACGTTTATAAGTAAGTCATTAAGGTTTTATTGTTTTTTTTTTCTTTTTTAAAAATCAACAATTTTCTCCTTCACTGTGATTTTATTCCTGTGTCGTCGGTGCGTTGAGTAACATACAATTTCACATCACACCATAGAGTTGTTGCATGCGGTAAACAAACCCGGGACAGCCAGTTGCCCAGCCACTGCGCCAACCGTGCAGTCAATTGACTAATGACTGATATTTGATTTGTATAGTTCGGCAATACGGTAGTTTCCAACTAATCAAATTCAATACTTTTATCGAAATGTCAAAAACGATTCTTTTCTATGAAATGACGTCATAGCTAATTTATTTCTTAAAGATGAGCTAAAAATATATAAAACTTAACGTATCGATCGATCGATGAATAAAGTATAGTTAGTTTTCAATATTTTATTTAATTTTTTTCTAACCTAGGAAACTACCTAATTCGGCATCCTCGATGTACGTCTTGTAGGTGTGCCTTTAGCTACTGAGGCCTTAATCAATTACAGAATTTGCCAGTTTTTGCCATAATTATATTTTTTATGTGATAGTTCGGCAAATGAGCATATAGATCACCGGATGGTAAGCAATATGGCGTCACCCATGGAAACTCGTGACACCAAAAGAGTTATAAGCGCGTTGCCAGTTTGTTGTGGGGTGTTGTTGTTAAAAACAGCATTTGGGGATTGGGTGGGGCGGGCCTCCGGTAAACTTCCTGTTATAGTAGCGGTAAGACCTCTGTTTGGCTTCAGAGACATGGAGTCCTCACCTTCCACCTGACGCGTGTTCTTACCGGGCACGGTAGCTTCGGTAGGTTCCTGTTTCGGATACGGCAGGAGGAAACTTCCGGGTGTCGTCAACACTCGGAGGACGATTACAATTTTATTATTAACGATGGAGTTTCTTGCTAATGAGCAAGAAATTCCATTAGATTCGAATGGAAAATAATGATTCTCCATTCGAATCTACAATTTGGAACGAGCGCCTAGCTTCACTAACTAACAGACTGACAGACTACTATTCTATTTTGACGTTTCAAAAGTACCTATTTATGGTTTTGTTAGGATAAATGATTTTGACTTTGAGGACACGGTGGAGCATATAGTGATGGTGTGTTAAGCCCCGCCGTGTACTTAGAGCTTCTTTTTGTGCTGGATAGTCCATTTATCAAGGCATGCTACAAAACATAAGCCAACGGACCACCACAGACGGGGCCTTATAGGGCTGATGTGCAGCCGGGGTTGCGGGGTGAGTCACCGCGGTCTCGGCCCAGAGCAGGAGAAGGAACAGGGGGGTTTTTAGTCAGTAAGAGTCTTGAAATATTGGGGGTCCTAGGGTGATTGTGAATCAAAACAACCAGCTCAGTCGACTGTACTGTATTAAATGACCAAAGCAATGCGCATTTATTAAAGTGCTTACTTAGATAAATATAATACTTACATCATAAAGGAGCATACATAATACGTTACACACTATAAGGGAACATACATACACTTCAGTCTGACACTTTCTCTCGCCTGACCCTGGGCGGGAGAAGTCATTTGATAATTTTCCCCCGACAAAAAAAGGCTATAAAACATCACGCTACGACCAATAGGTGCCAAACAACTGGTGAAACGGTGCAAAGGTAGAGAAACTAGTTTCATAAAAAATCTCTTCTTCAGGGATGACTGCAATAAGTGCTACTGCCAAGAGAATCAAAGTTTGCGCTGTACGCAGAAGAAATGCCTCAATTACACAGAAGCTGTTGAAATGCAGAAACATCAAGAATATTTACTACGACATAGACTTTAAGTACACAGGAATAAAGACGATTATGGCATGTGCACCGGACTCATGATGAATAAATAATGTTTTAATTTTAAGGGTTTTCTGAAGCAATGAATAAATGTATTCTGTCAGTTGCGATGTTTTATTATCTGTAAACGCAGAAAGAGAGAGTGAGATTGTGTTGGTGGGACTGTGTGAGAGATAGAGAGAGAGAAGCCAGATGCTTACTATCAAAGCACCTGGCTTTGTTGACGAGCATACTGATGGACTCGTTATTACAATACTATTTTGATCTAATATCTATTTTGACGTTTCAAAAGTATAACTGTATAACTTGTTTAGTTTGCAAAAAATGTTTTTCAGCTTTGAATTTGACTCTCACAACATTTTTAATGTTTGTATTAATTAAGGATAGGTCGGCAAACGAGCAGCCGTATTGTATGATGGTAAGCAATCGGCGTCACCCATGGACCCTGATACCCCTGAACCTGATACCCTGTGATATCACCTAAAAAATTGCAAGGGCATTCCCTGCGTTTCCAATTCTCGACTTGTTCCAACTAGTCCCGTTGCAAAATTAGAATTAGAAAATTAAATGTCATTTGTAATTTTTACTTATTGTTGCTCGGTCTGCTGAATAAGAATTTTAACGAGAGTAGCTAGGAAATCCATCATCATCACTATCAGCCTATAAAATGCTTACTGCTGGACAAAGGCCATCCAGCAAGAGTCTGAAACTCCCTTTAGAAGAGGAGAGAATAATTTGCCCCATAAAAAGGACAATATAAAAATAACAGACATTCTTTTCTAAAGGAATGAAGTGTAGGAAAGCCATGATTTGGTATGAATAAGCTGGGGTGTTTACAAAAAATTGGCGTGGAACAACCACATCGTTGTGAGAGAGGTTACCCGAGGCTCAACCGTTCCTCCCTCCGATTATCATTAAGGAATAGTTTAAGTGTCACTGAGCACGGTCAATTGATTTATTCGTTGATTTTTTTTATTTAACACCCGCCTTTGTTTTCATTTATTATTATTATTTAACGCTTGCCCTTATTTTTTTATTTGTTTGCAAACATATACCATAATATAAATATAATCTATACTAATATTATAAAGAGGTATAAGTAAGTATGTTTGTAGTGGGTCATCTTCGGAACCGCTGATCGGAGTGCCAAAATTCTTTCACTGATAGATAGCTACAATGTTTTTCAGTGTTATAGGCTACGATCAAATGGAGCCGAGCAGCGGGTAAAACCGCGCGAGAGTAGCTAGTAATATATATCATCATACAATACAATACTCATAAAATAAATGTATTATAAATGTAGCAATAAAACTTCGCGATAAAACTACCAAAGCACTAAATTATCTTCTTCTAAAAAACGCGTGTCAAAATATGTATTTTTTAGTATAAGAAATTTTGTATTCAGACTACTTTTTAAATTTTATTAAGTGCAGTTACAATTTTTTTCCATTAAGTCCTTTGTAATTAAGAGGCAGGTAAGTTTTGGTCTAGATATATCTGCCTAAATTATCATCATAGTTTTTAATAACACCGAGAACCTACAAATGACAATATAATTCATAATATGACCTTGAACCTTTGTTTTATGAGTGATCTAACTATAAGTAATCTAGAAGCAAAAAACCTTGCCAAACGAACTAGTCTCCGAAACAGCCGAGCCAGGAGTCCAATAAACTGGATTCCCCTACTCTTTTCTACCGTCGTCGTAAAAATAGATAGTCGGCAAAATGTCACTGCTATATGATTTTTTTTTTACTTGCAATAAACTAGTGCTTGACTGCGATCCCACCTGATGGTAAGCAGTGATGCAATCGTTGATGGTAAGGCGCACTTGTTTATTAAGAGCCTATTCACTCTAGCCTTGAAGACACCTAAATTGTATTCAGACGAAAAGACTGTAGCCGGCAAACTGTTCCAATCCCTCGATGTACGCGATATAAATGACGAGGCAAAACGCTTAGTCCGGGCCGCAGGCGTCTCAATAACGAGCATGGTGGAATCCTTTGTCAGTGTTTTCAAGGATGTTATCAACCTAGGTACTCATCGTAAGCCACAGTATCGTTTATCGCCAAGCTAAATAATAAAATTACCCAGCTTGGTTCTACTTATTCTGACTCCAGAGACTTAACCGCATCACTAAATGGTGACACTAGTTTAGTTTTAGTAGGCTCTGATATCTTGTTTGGGTGCCTTAACTTAGAAGCGACTGCAGAGCAGGGATTAGTCCTAGTAAGGACCCAAAGTGAGCTGAAATGCGAGTGATCCAAAAAAGACAATAACTTCAAGTTATCTGCAAGCGTTGGAAGTGGGAGGTTTTTATTGACCCGCGGTATTGGTGATTGATGAATGATGATTATGATGACTACGACAAATAGAAAGATACCATGTTGTAATATATCCTAGACAATTAAATTACATAAGCTCAAGTGAAAGGTCATAGACACGGTTGCGGGTCAAGAAAAAAATCTGCATCATCATTTAAAAACGAAAACAGTATGAACCTATGTATGAGCAGAAATCAATTAATTTCCCGACTGACTTCCAATCATAAAACGAACACATAAATACTTAGGTACTTCAAATTTTACGTCCTTCCAGCTTCTGTATTATTAAACGATTTTCCAGAAATGTTTTAATTTGATGGATTTAAATTTAATTTTGTTGAAATCAATTCGAAGCTACTCTATACAATTTTGAAAGGCGCCATTTTTTTTTATTGACGTAATGTTAATGGCGGTTATATTAGTAACTTTGCTTCAAAGTACACTATTTGGAGAAGCTATTTTTCGTAAGTTGATACCCTTCTTTATTATATGAACTATTGATAATTAATTTATTTCACAGAACGGTAAAGTTATTTTTATTTGTAAAACAATGAATTATTTTGAAACAAAAGAACACATTTTTTTGTATATTTTAACATTTAATTGATCAACAGGCACATGTGTACCAAACACGCAGTTTTTAATGAATGGCCGACTATGTTACTGCAACAGTATGGGTCGTTGGAGCGAGGGCTCATGTCAGATGATAGGACGACGACAAACCTGCCAACCAGGCCAGATCATATGGGAGGAATGTAGCCAGTGCATCTGCCAGGAAAATGGAAAGCTCCTCTGCACAAACACAGAATGCTCTGAGGACACAACGAAGAAAAACAAGAGCAATTTAGAAGAAGGGGCTGAGTTATGGTGTACTCCATTCAGGTCCTACTACATCAATTGCAGTCTTTGTGTCTGTCCTGCGTCGGGAAAGATGTCAGAAGCCCGTTGTGCTACTGACTCCTCTTGTTCTCTAAACGGTCCCATTCTATCTCTCGACATGATCAAACAGAACATTTGTATACCAAAGGTCATGTACTTGTTCAGCTGTCTACATTGCTTGTGTTCCGACGAAGGCTTATTTATTCAGAGTAAATGTGTGGAAACGTGTCACAAGCTCCCTAAATCAGCAAGGACATGTATACCCAGAACTTTCTATAGAGTCAATTGTAACGTTTACCGGTGTCCAGAAAACGGTATACCCGATGAAACTACGAGATCTAAATCTATCTGCAATAAGAAAATAAATCCACTCACTTCTTTAGTTAGTTTGAGAAATATCACAATGCCATGTACACCCAATGTATATACGAAACCAAAGTGCATTTACTGCGAATGTAACTCACAAGGCGTGATGAACGAAAGCAATTGCTTGGAACAAGAATGTTTGAAAATTCAAGATTTCAAATATGACTCTGTTAAAAGTTCGTGCAGTCCCGGAGAGATGGTGCCTACTTGTATGGAATGCTTTTGTCTTCAAAACGGTTTTACTACAGAAAAGTATTGCACGAGAGTCTGTTCGCTCCAAAATAAGCTGATTATGCTAGAACGTGTGTTGAAGGAAACAATCAATTCCGTAGACCGAAATACTATTAAGGAAGTAATAAGTTCGGACACTTGCGAGCCTAATTCACTCATTCTGGACCAGGGCAGATATTGTTTGTGTCCAGAAAACGGTAATGCTAATCTCAAACTTTGCACTTCAGTGACTGACAATTCTATTGGACCTAAGAAATCCCAGAGAATTATGTTAGATAAAGCATCCGTCATTGATTACAATGTATCTTGTGAACCAAACACGTTCGTTGAGTTCGGATGCAACACTTGTTACTGCACGAAAGATGGAAAAATTAACGCGAAATGGTGTACCTTCGACGACTGTGAAGCTAAGAACACAATACAAGAGTCTCACAAGAAAAATGGTGCTCTCTTGAAAGCAGAATTGATGCCTACATGTACTGCGGGATCGATTACAAAAGTAGATTGTAATTTTTGTATTTGTGGTGCATCTGGGTTGGAGAAGAACAGGTCATGCACCAATAATACTTGTAGCGATAAATATAAGTCAATTGGCAACGAATTTGCTTGTGAACCTTCGGCCTATTATACGGTCGACTGCAACATCTGCTTCTGTGGAACAGATGGTATCAAAAACGTGAATAAGTGCACAAAGAATCAATGCGAGACTAATTTCCTAAGGTCAGATTCCTGTTCACCTGGCTCGTTGTTCAGTGTCGATTGTAATATCTGCGTTTGCCCACCAAACGGGAATAAAAAGGACAAAGTTTGTACAAACCGAACATGCGCCGAATCAGATACACCTTGGAAAAAGATATTTAAACTGTCACAGACTCTTGCAAGCAACCATGTGATGGAAGGTTCTACAAAAAATTTGGAACTCTGTTTTCCTGGTGAGGAATTTGAATCAGATTGTAAAATGTGTGTATGTCCAGATATGGGTTTGAGACAGTATGCTACATGTACTCCTACTTCATGTGATAAATCGAAAATCGTTAGTACTGTAAGTAATGATAGAGACGATTTCTTCTAGTTGAAGTTTGTGTGGTTTGAAATCCGACTGAGTCGATATAACATTTATAAAGCTTCTAGTACAAGTTTCAATGCAATGGATGGCGTTATTAACATGTATACTGGGATATTTTTGTTATTGTAAAACGTGTATGAAACCACGTGGTACCCCGTAGATGGACAAATGGGGGAAATAAAATACAGACCTGTATTTTATAAGATTTGTGTTTTCATAAGATCTTCAGATTAAATCATGATTTGCATTTCACGATTGTAATCATTTTTTTTTTATTATGAGCCATCTTTCTTCTTTCAGATTTGGCTTATAAACCATCAAGGAAATCCAAACCGAATGAACCTACATGTGATCGTGAAATGCAAAAGTCTCATAGCATCATCTCTGTTGACAAATCCTATTATTTTAAAAACATGTGTACTTAATCGATTTCTTTGAATCGTATCCTATTGTAACCAAAACTCGTTTAATGTCACTAATGAATTAAGAAAAAGTACAATGGCAATTTGAATATCTTTATTATGTCATCTTAGGTCAGCAAACGAGCATGAGGCGGATTACCTGGTAGTAAGCAATCAGTGCCGCCCATAGACACTCGTAAATCCAAAGGAATTAAAAATGAACATAAAGTGCGTTACCTACCGACCTTTTGTGGGTTATTAGGGATTTAAGGAATAAGGGGGGAGGGGATTGGGCCATCGGTAACCTCACTCACCCGGCAAACACAGCGTAAATGTCGTTTCGTACTGATACCACGGTCTCCATATTGAAGGCCGTGGTTTTCTGTGAGGCCGCGATAGCCGACCAATTTGTGCCGAAGCATGGTTCTCCCACACTTAAAATCTCTGTAGGCGTCTCATGAGTTACGAACGGAAACTGTTGATCTTACTTCTTTCGTTATTAAATCTAGAAGATGATCACAAAACACTAGATGTTAGGTTAGCCCGTTCCGAGTTCCGACCTGGAGCAGAAGAAGGGCCGGAATGTTTTTGTCAGTAAGAGTCTGACACTCCCTCTTGCCCCTCCCAGGGTGATTTGATGATTTTCTTCTTGAATGTGTGAAATGTAATATAATGAATTTTGAATAAATTGTTTTTGGTCCTCTATCGGTTCTAAGATTTAGTTATGGGCTAAGAACCAACAGATATGCTGATATTTTACTATAGGTATGAATTTGAGGTATCTATAGAAGAAATAAAAATCAGCTATTTTTTTTTATTTTATGTATATATTTATAGTCGTCAATATTTTTCAAGTATGAAGACTTTATCGCTTCTACCTAGTTTTGTAGTTTTCAATTAATATCAGCCAGCTTTCTACATATTTTTCTGTTTCTATTTTCCATTGGAACAAAATATTTTTGGGATATTTGGAATACCTTCAAACCTTCAAGAAACGAGCGTACTCCTTCTTAAAAGGCCAGCAACGTGCCTGTGATTACTCTAGTGCTGCAGGTGTCCATGGGAAGTGCCGATAGCTTACCATCAGTTTGCCTCCTATTCCATAAAAAAACTGGATCTTAAAAAAACATATCTACATATATTATATGTACAAGTTATAAGCCTAATTAGCATTTTAACTAACGGCCTGAATGACTTGTTTCTCTGGGTGGGTGAATTTTTAATCAAGGTTTTAAGCTAAGACTTCATTGAAACTAAGTTGCTACCAGAATTGGTTAGATGTTCATGGAAATCCAAACGCTATTTCAAATAAACAACTGCCAGAACTGCACTGAACAGCGAAAACAGGTCATCAATTATATGGTTAGCTAAACCTAAGTGAGATTTATCAATTTGGGTTTGCTAGCAAACCTTCTTCTACTAACTTTAATCTTATTTAAATCAATCCTTAACATCCTCATTAACTCTGTCTTGGAAAAGAAAATCAAAACATATAATAACATGCCATAAAATGACATCCCTATAATGTTTTAGTTCAAACCACTCAGTCGAATGAGTGGAAATCACAGTGAAGGCATATTTGGTAATTATTTTAATGGCGCTGACACTGATATTGGATTAGATGATGAAGTACGTGATGTAGATGAAGGAGAAGCTGGTCAATTAAAAGGGACGGATAGAGATGAAGACGAGATGGAAGCTATCAATACACGAAGAGAGATTTGTATCACTTACAATATTACTGATAGTTCAGAGAGACAGACCTGTACGCCTGGAGCGCAGTATATTATAAGGTATAAATACACGAACAGAGTATAAATTTTAATACACGCACGCGCTCTCAGCGCACAGCCGTTCGTGCCGTTGCTGCGGTGGTGGTTCGGAATAGTGTTAGAGATAGTTCAAATCGTTTTCCATTGAACCATGAAAGTCGGTTCTTATTTCATAATACTACTATTGGCTAAGAAAAACCGTAAAAGCAGATAGATACGGTGATAGGATATGTCGTGTTGGTCCTAGGTTAAGGCGCGTTTGAACTTGGAAATTACACCATTGCAAAACGGTGAAGGAAAACATCGTGAGGCAGGTGAAGCTGGTTCATTCATAAACCTTCTCCTTGTCAGAAGAGGCCTTTGCTTAGTAGTTAGCATTTGTAGGCGGATACTGATGACAGCTATAGGCAGCAGAAACTTTACACTACTGAACTAAGCACCTGGCGAATGAAAAACGAGGTGGAAGGCAGAAATAAATGAATAGAAATGTTCACTCAACGAATTTAAAATATACCACATTGACAATGTACCTACTTCTATTTATCAGATAAATTTGAGTATAAAACGCAATTTTTATGCACTATATTCATCCAAACTAATTTTGTAAATGGGAAAGTAACTCCGTCTGCCTATCTGTCTTTTCTTCACGCGTAAACTACTGAACTGATTTCTGTAATATTTGGTACAGACATAGTTTGGAACTCCAGAAAGGACATAGGATAGTTTTTATACCAAATATCTGCAGGAATTCACTTTTCCACGGGAATGAAGTCGCGGGCAAAAGCTAGTAGTTCATACATAATTGGAATATTGTATAACTAGATAGCATTATACTACCTATATAGTAATTGTTTAATTTACCTGAAACTAAATTTCTCCACTATTTAATGTATATCATTAAACATATTATAAGTAAGCCTTCCTCTTCAAGATTTAAGCCTACATAGGGATATAGGGACAGATAAAGAGACTTTGTTTTACAACGTATGTAGTGATATACTACCCATTGTTGTCTTGCCATCGGTTTCTTTGGCCAGATCTTAATGTCTTCTGCGTCCATTGCTTGATCTGCGTCTCTCTCTATTTTATGGAATTGGTCGTAAATATTAATATGGTTTAATCTTTAAGGTGTCGGGTTTGCATCTGCCCTTACATGGGCAACATCAACTACTTCTGTCGACCGATGCCACCAAACCAACACTGTGAACAGGCGTTCCCAAATTTCAACTATGTCCCAATGGGCAGGAGAGTCGCAAATGGTAATTTTCTTTTGTCACGCTATTTATATTATTATTAACAGCTACTAAGTCTACTCCACCTGATCTTGCAGTCCTGGTAATTGCAAAACATATAAAATTCATCATAATCCCGATACCATCTATGTAATGATAGCCAGGGTTGCGGGGTAAGCGCAATGAGTCACCGTGGCCTCGGCCTCAAGCAGGAGAATGAACAGGGGAGGGCTTAGTCAGTAAGAGTCTGACACTCTCTCTCAGCTTACCCTGGGCAGGATAAATCATTTGATGATTTTCCCTTTATTAGTGCTATAAGTTTCTTGGCTCATATTAATTCATAAGTTTAACGGCTTACTCACTCGAGGAAATGTACTAGCCACGGTAGGGACTTCTATCCATGAGCTATATTTGTGACAAAAGATGCGGCTAACGTCGCGTGGCTTGAGACTAGTCGAGTTCTTTTTGTCTTTGAATATGGATAATAATTTTATGCTCACTTTTAAGAAAATTTTCGATTCGAAATTGCTTATTACCTTACCTGAAATGAAGCAACGTAATATCAATCTGCTTCCTTATTCTATTTCACACAGTACGCAGATTTGTCTTCATGTAGCAGGCAGCAGTGTCAGCATGTACAGCGAGGGTCATAAGTGCACTTGCACTTTACCAATGCTAATATGTCTAAAATTTTTTCATACCTAGTTGAGGGTCAGATGTTCCTTGAATTTGTAGCATAGATTCTAAAGTAATTAATGACTAATTTTTAGATTCTTGATCTTGTATTGCAAAGAAGTTTTACACATTTTCGCATTGGGAGAGTCAAAGTCAAAGTCAAAATCATTTATTTCAATTAGACCCATACAGGCACTTTTGAACGTCAAACGTCAAGAGTGCAATTGCACTATTGACCCTAGACCGTACAAGTACAAATAATTAAACTTATAAAGTATAATGACTTTGAACTCGTTACAACAGGTAATACAACAGTAAATGAAACAAGAAAAAAATATCCATATCAAGTGACGATACCTCACAATCACACGATGCACAGATGCGAGGAACCAGGCAAATTGACTGATGATTGTTACATATGTGAATGTGAATCAGACAAAATCCTTGTGGAAGAACATTGTTATAAGAGCGAAGATGAAGCTTGCGTTAATGCTACACCATCCTTCATTAACGCTGGAGAACACCCGATTTATGTTAAAAAATACAATAAGTCCAAAAGTTAGGTCTGTTAGTTTTTGTTTGTATAAATACAGGTTGTCTCTTTAATCTGGTCTTGCATTTACTTGTCTCTTTACAGCTTTTATGGAAAGGATTGAAGTTGAAGTATTTATTTCAACTAATTCAGTCAAACAGGCAGTTTTAGTAGTGCAGAGGTGCCCTAGTATATATATCACGTTTTTTTTGTATACAGCATACAGAGTATCATCCGGGTCGCCGGTGAACCCCATGGCGTTTTACGTGTTAAGAAGAGAAATCAGTATTAGCAGTCGCTAAGTATGACTATTTAAGCATATTTATGATAACTAAAAAACAGAAAAACATATATTACTTATAAAAATGTTTGGTAAAGTAAATTACATAAACATCAACACAAATACGGAATGTACGGAACAAAGCTTTTGTTTAGCTGTAGGAGTCTTGTAGATGATGATGATAATGATGGTGATGGTGAAGATGATAAAAGTAATAACATCATTAACACCTTAAGCGCCACGGGGGTCACCGGTGACCTCCGTTAGCGTAGGATTTGCCTTCAACATTTTTCTGTCGGCAGACAAAGGCTTAATGCAATGCTGGGTCGTTTGTTTGTAAACTCACAGAGAATGAATAGAAAGATTCCAACCGATAGGGGCTTACTATATGTAAATGACATGTGTTACGTTTCTCGAAAGGCTCTGTGTACAATTTGCTGATGATACCTGTTTGGTTGCTGCACATAGGGAAATACGTGAGGCGTAAAGGCGTTCTGTGCAAGTGGGCTTATTACGATATTCACCTTACCTCGCGATACCTATTGTGCTATTGGTCATTGCATCATTGCCCATGAACAGCAGTGACTTCACCAGCCAGCACTTTTAGTTGCCAGTCACTTGAGCTGGTGACTCAGCATTGATCTTTTGGATTGATTATAGATAGCAATTTCCATTGGCGGCCGCACATTGATCATGTGTGTTATAAGCTAAGGTCAGTTTTGGCAAAGCTATCAATAATAAAGTTAAAATTACCATATTTTAAGTGTGGGAGAGCCATGCTTCGGCACGAATGGGCAGGCTCGACCAAAGTGGTACCACGGCCTCACAGAAAACCGGCGTGAAACAACCACAGCGTTGTGTTTCGCCGTGTGAGTGCGGTTACCGGCCCTATCCCTAAGCCCTATCCTTCCCCTCCCCCAATCCAAACGAGCAGACGGATTACCTGATGGTAAGTAATCAGCGCCGCCCATGGACACCCGCAACGGAGGAGTTACGAGTGCGTTGCCGACCTTTTAGGGATTAAGGTTTTGGAGATTTAGGGATTGGGAGGGATCGGGGCAGGGGAAGGATTGGGCCTCCGGTTGTTAATTACCATCAAGTTCTCCGTCCGCTCGTTTGCCGACCGATCGCATAAAAATATCGCCGTACCAAAACATGCTAATGACTACGGGGTAGGGACGTGGGAAAGCATAATGCCATATTTTTTGAATGACTTGCCGCCAGAAGAACTGCTCCAGGGTTCCGAAGAGATACTTTTTAGACAGTGAAACGGTCGGGAAGGTATCTCTTAAGAACATAAACTAAAGTATGTATATCTAAATAAAATTCTATCAAAACAATATTGCACCGAGTTGCAGCGACTGGACGTACCCTGGATTAACCTTAAAGGTTTTTTGTAGGTATGTGTAGTGTCTTCTCGAATGTACATCAATTCATTAATGTGACCGTACATAAATAAATAAAATATCACAGTGAAACAAAATCAAATGCCTTATTCACATTATGTATATTTATAGCAATTACTACTTTAAGTTTAATACCATCGCAATTTCCTTCGTGCCGATTATTTTGCTTTTAACTGCTCATATGAATTCTTTTTGTCACAGTAGATATTGGAAATTGGGACACATTTGTACAAACGCCTAAATGAAAACTACACCAATAATAAGGAACCAATAATAAGAAACTTCGTGATCCTAGCAAAAAAAATACGTCCTCGCCATCGTTGAACGAAGTTTTCCTAATTTAATTTTAACTAGAGCAATAATTCAACAATCATAATAAAAATCACATTAAAGTTTATCAATTTGCTTCAATTAGTTTCCTACTGTTGGATAATTATCATTTATGTGTTCTACACGAAATCTGCGCGCACTATGTCGCCCTTATCTCCTTTTATATTATACATTTCTATTAATATAGTTACATCAAGTGTGGGTAAGTCTACATAAATACGTTAATTTAATAATATCTTTAATGACCATCCTTTTTGTACTCTCACCGAATATTTGTAGCCTTTTTTGTGACAACACTCAAATTTTTTACTCAAAACTAAATACCACCCCGTTCTATATCCTACCCTATAGATTGAGCCACGGTACAACAGTAGCCTCTCTTTCAATTACATTTTATAGCTTGAAAATTGTAAAAGAAAATTGAATCTGAGAGTCAAAGAAAGAACGGCTCGGTTGTGGATGATTCAAGTTTTTTTTATTTAAAAAATCTTGATGGAATTCGACAAAAAAATAAATGAAATAAATGTGTTACTACCAGATACTATCCAATGCCCATTGTTAAATATATTGTTGTTATTTTAGATAACATACAACACCCCATCAAGCCCTGTCACATAGGAGATGTGGTGGAAAACGAATGCAATAGATGCACATGCTCTTCAAAAACCGTATTCGAATGTAAAGTTTTAAATTGTAAACAGAATTCAAGTAAGTATCGTTATTAATAAAATTTTGAATAACTTGATGACAAGAGTGATTAAGATGTTAATTTTATTTTTACAGCTTATAAGGATCTCGATAATGTTAAACAGTTTTGTTACCCGAACCAATTATACGTACAAGATTTGATGACCTGCATCTGCACTAAGGACGGAAGATGGCCGCACAAGAGCTGTCACAAAGCTTTCCAAGTCCTAGCTCCTGAGAAAATTAAGACACATAAATGCAAACCCGACTCTTACGTTCGTGTCGACTGCAATGTATGCAGATGTGGTCCAGATGGCCAAATCATTAATGATCGTTGTACAAGAAACGCCTGCGAGGATGATGGCTTTCGAAGAAATTCATTAAAATCTAACAACGTCTTTAGCAAATGCGAAGTCAGGAACTGGTACTCCTTAGCTCCCTGTCAATTCTGTTTTTGTGTTCGTGAAAACAAACTCATATGTAACACAGGCAGTGACTATTCCAAAAATATTCAAGTGGGCTCTTACAATCTTAAAATTTGTGGTAACGACTTTATTAGGGAAGCTTTAGAACTAATACCTGATAACGAAAGGCTATTGAGACTTCGTCTTGCTTTAGCAAACCCCAATATAAGTTCGTTACAACCACCGATAGTAACTACTGGTGTAACATCAGAATCAACGCCCAGTGTGCAATTAAATAATGAACAGAATAATGAAGTTGAACTGAATCGAGAAGGCAATGAAAGCAAAATTCCATATCTATCTCTAGCTGGTGATTCTAATACTAGCAGTAGCGATGAATACTATTCTGACACAGAGGAAGAAGTGCTGGACCAAAAATCGCACCTGGAACAGACAACAAAGAAAGTTGTCACTACTGCAAAACCTGCAAAAACTGAGCAAGTACAATCACCTGGCCGGTTCACGAAATTTCCGTTTCAAGATGGAGACGACATTAATGAAGGTGGAACTGATGAAAGTAGTGAAGACGATTCGATTAATATGAAAGCCGTGGTCGATCGCTTCCCTGAGAGTACTTTACTAACGCCGAGATCTGCGCCAATCATTCCAGCTGCGCAGCTAGAAGATGATAAATCATTAAAAGATATAGATAACGGCCTTAAATCACCTGAGTACCAGTACGTTGACGACAAAACAAAAATAAACCTTCCTTCAGTATTAAATAAAGTTCTACAAATGGCTCTAAGAAAATCGATGGTGTCTTTAAAAAGAGGATCGAAATGCAAGCCGGGAACCACGACCATAAACGACTGCAACTCATGTTTTTGCTTAAAAAACAGTAAATTATTATGTACTAACAATATTTGTCTTCGAAAAGAACGGGCAAACTAAAGCAAAATGTTTATTTAATTTAATAAAACTCATCTTCCCTTGGCCCTCCCTAACAAATTACTAAGGGACATTTGTTATTTGTATGTAGTAAGATATTTCTTTTAGGTTATTTGTGATTAAATCATACAAGTGGAATTTTAGTTTTTTTTTTTTAACGCATAACTCAAAATTATATGAAGACGTCAAACCTTTCCTTTTTTACCAGAAGCGATCCCAAATCAAATTTACTTTTCCTCAATTGTTTAAATAACAATTGCTATAATAAGAGACTAAAAATATTCAGGTTAAATTTACACAATTCAATAAACTTCTAACAGAAAGTAAAAAAACTAAAAAGAAAGTCGAAAATCAATTGTAATTATAATGCCAATCAAGCATCGCGGATGCTCATAAAATCGAAACCAATTATAAAACTCAACATAAGCTATTGTACTTAAATTACTTCCTCAAAGAAAAATTAACGATGGCAGTATTGGAAATTTAATTATGAGACATATATCAATAAAGATGATTTTGAAAACGATATTCTTACTGTATTTTAATGTGAAATCAGTTATAATGTTGCGACATGATTCTAGTAAGTAATATTTTAATACGGTCTCAGTTCTTTTTCAGAAATATGTAAGTTGTTATGCTTCCGCGCCTCAAAGACCTAATAGACCATCACAGACGGGGCCCTATAGGGCTGGTGTTTAGCCGTGGTTGCGGGGTAAGCGCAATGCGGCACCGCGACCTCGGCCTAGAGCAGGAGAAGGAATGGGGGTGGGGGGATTTTAGTTGGATACAATGGGCAGGGGAGAAGTCATTTGATGAATTTCCAATCACAAAAATAAAGGTGCAATGTGCCATAAAATACGCATGTAATGCAGTTTTGCAAATTGCTGCACTGCCACGTTTGACCTACACGGTAGGTAAAATCTTTTGGCCAAAGATATTTAGAGAGACGTATAGATTTAAATTAAGATCCTTCAATAGCAAATAATTTGTCATTGAAGGAATGTAGCAAACATTCCTTTACATATAGTTCACATTTCGTTTTATAACATCTTTGTGTATTCAAAAAACTTTTAAGATCTCTATAATGGATTGAATGTCGGTAGCCGCGGTTCTAAAAACACAACAGTTCAAGCAAAAAAATAATCTTGCGTCGGAGAATATCTGTAAAGGGCACGCGCACAAGCGCAGTCCAACACGTACGAGGGGTTGACGACCTGATAAAGATTTGAGGGTGATCAGCCGATGAAGAAAGTCATGTGTGAAGGCCAGCAGGGCCATTCTTGTTGCTGATTATAATACGATGTGATTACCGTGTATTTACTAACATTTCATAATTTTCCAGAAACCGAAAATGTGGAGGTTGGACGCTGCCAAGTAAATACGATCGCATTGAACGACTGCAACTGGTGTTCTTGTAACAAAAAGATGTCATACACTTGCATTGCTCGACCTTGTAGTTCAGTCGACATGTTTGGACATTTTAATGGTAGGTTTCTTATGGCAAATCAGAGGACAGACCAGACAGTCTTGTGTTTCGCTGCGTGGGGTACCGGAAGCCTATCCTCCATCCCTTCCCAATCTTTAAATATCCGAAGACCATATCCCCTAAAGGCTAGCAACGCAGCCGGAACTCCTTTGGTGATGCAGGTGATGGACAGCGCCGATTTCTTACCACAAAGGAATCAATTTGTTCGCTTGCCGACCTATCCCAGAAAAAATAAGAACACCTCATAAGCAATTGGCTCTTTGCGGCGTTGCAACACCAGAAAAGTAACAAGTGCGTTGCCACTTTAAGATTAAGGGATTTGAGAATTTAAGGTTTGGCTGGAAATTAAGCTCCTGGTGGATACCAATGTGAGTTTCCAATAGCTAAGTTTGTGCAGAGATAACTGACAAACGAGTTTATAAGTTTGAAAATACCTATCCAGTTTGAGCGAGCACGGTGATTCAAGAGGCCTTTGCTCAGTAGTAATCACTTATAGACTGGAGATGTGTAATGTCAACCTGCGACATATAACGCAAGCATTTTTTCACACAGGTTTTCTGTATGGAAACCGACTTCAGTGTCAAGCGAGGCTTCCCATAATTAAAGCAAAACAAAACCAAAATAGTTTTGTTACTATTCATTGAATGTGTACTATAAAGTTTTCTGGTTATCTTGAATATTTGATTTTGATTTCTATCGTTTTTCATATACGGTTTAATTACAAACACTCATTTCAGATGCGATAAAAGATATGGACGTAGGAATGGAAGGCCACGGCGTCTGGCGTTCAGATGAGACTGCTTGCGAGGCAGGAGTTCACTATAAGAAGAACGACCTCCTCTGTGTGTGCAATGAAGACGGAAAATGGCCCAATCCAGTCTGCCGAGACGTTTTCCAAATCCTCCATGCTGTTGAAGAGACAGAACATAAATTACCTTCGAAGGGCATCCGCTGCTCTGCAACAAAACTGTACCTCTTTGATTGCAATGTTTGCTTCTGTCCCTCGACCGGACGCATTAACCCCAGATATTGTACAAAAAGACAATGCCACAAAGAAAACATTGCACGTTCTGACAATAAAGAAATTATCGAAGAAGTATATGCTACCTGTACCCCTAGCAAACAATACAGGCTCGGCTGTCAAACCTGTCTGTGTCTCCGCAACAATCGCTTATTGTGTGACAATTGCACGAGTGAAGAAAATCATAACTTGGTCACCACCTATAACACTATCTGCAACCAAAGGAAACCGGGAGAGATTTTCATAAAAGACTGCAACTTCTGTTACTGCAATAGAGAAAATATTTATTGTACAGCGAAGAAGTGTTTGCAGAATCACACGAACATTTCCTTACCACAGATTCAATACAATGTGGTAGAATATATTCAGGATGAGTACAATTGTATTCCAGGATCAAAGTACAAGAAGGATTGCAATACGTGTTATTGTTTTATGCATGAGGGAGTGAAATATTTCGGGTGCTCCATGAACCCTTGCAAAGAGTTATCAGACGACCACGATACAGATGCTTGCGTAGAGGGGACATCGTACGAAGCGAACTGTTTGATCTGTCACTGCGTTGTAGAAAATGGCGAGAAAAGAGAATTCTGCCACATTGACGATTCTTGCAAAAATGAAGAAAATATCGCTGAACCTCGTCCGCTTGCTTCAATGCATGGATATTGTGAACCATTACATGTCTATCAACAGGATTGTAATAAATGTCGATGTCTGGCAGATGGCAAAACTGTGGTATGTACTTCGAAAATTTGCTCCAAAACGCAATCTAAGAATAAATACATTATACCGCATCCAGGATCATTGTTAACCCCGAAAACAAGAGAAGATTCACAAGAAAAATCTGTGGTCATCGAGCTCATACCTTTCTTCCAAAAAGACAATTTCTGTCCCAGAGGTCATACTTATAAGGTTGATTGTAATATTTGTTACTGTATGAAAAACGGCAATGCAGTTTGTACGACGAAGCAATGTTAAGTAGGATTATTTTTGCCAGTACGTCGTTCGGTTGGTCACTTCGAACATATTGTGATCCTGTTTTTATCTTCAGTTGATATTATTATTAAAATGCGTTTTATTACGATTTGTGATTTAATGTCGAGTCACTGTCACTTGGTGGAGGTGATCTGAAAACGTCCTGCGCATGTTGCTATCGCCTATTAAAAGAAAAGACTACATAGAAGCATTCTTTATAATAAACCTGAACTTTTATGCTACGATTTTTACTCTAGTGCCCAGCGTCTATCTTATGACCCACAGCCTAACATTCGACTGTCATGGGCTGTTGGTTTTTTTATGAACTGTTGGGATTTCTTGATTTTTTTCTAAGTTATTGATTAAATATGAACGTATAAAGTGAGAAAATCTAGTATTTTCAAATTAATTGCAATTCTCTAATATTTTCAAATCACAACGAACTGTTAAAATTCAAAATAACGACTTATTTACTTACGTGAAATAACTAAGAAAACTTCTAATGGTTTATGGGCCTCCGGTAACCTTTGCCGAGTTTGTTGTTTGTTTTGTTTCACGCCGTTATTCTGCGAGGCCGTGGTATCACTCCGGTTGAGTGGGCTTAATCTGGATGTTGTTCATATTGTATCATATTATATTTATATAACAAGCATGGTAAGCGCATAACTCAAAAACGCCTGGACCAATTTTGCCAATTGTTATTTTGTTGTCTTCGTTATTGCCAGCAGAAAGTTTTTATTAAAGAAAATTGGATAAAAGTAGAGGGGATAATCGGGAAATCGCAAAGCGTAAGATACCCGTGCGAAGTAGGAGTAGGACGCTACAAATAAAACCATCATGATATGTACAATAACTATATTTTAGAACGCCAAACAATCGTTCATCGTCTTTTAACACAAAATAACAAATTATAAGTAATTAAAAAAAACATTACATTATGTAGAACACATAACAATTTTATATCAATTAATCATTCAACTTTGTGCTTTTTCAACTTCTCTAAGGGCTGATTTTTCAATAAATGTTATCTGAGGAATAAAATTGTTGCTGTCACTGTCTTAAACAAACATCCTGACGCGACAGCATCATAATTATTCCCCAGGTAACTTTTATCTAACCATTGAAAAATCAACCCTAAGACAAAGCGAACTTTGGTTCGCTTAGAAAAAGCCACAGTTCTACAAGAACTGTGGCTTTTAAAAAACGAACTTTGGTCTGAATAAAACCAGAAACGTGAATTTCGTCTGGTAAGAATTTTCTTACATAACAAAATGGTAATCAAAATATTATAAAATAAAACATATCATCAAGTCCAAAAAGTAAAATAATAATTGTAAAAATATTATAATAAGTACTACTTACTAGTAATAGTAAATGATCAATTAAATCATTCTGTCAACAATTAATTTGTAAGTTAAAATTAATTTATTTCAAACATTGTACTAATTTGTGCGAAAAAAATTTGCGTCACCATAGAACCCGATAATACAAAAAACAATTTAAAAAAAAAGTGCGTCAAGGCTTGATAGATTGAAATCGAATGCAGCGCCATTTCTTTGGAACTAAATTTTTGTAGAACAAGAAACACAATATTTAAACGAATTTAAAATAAAAGCTTAGAACGACGAATTAAAAACGAATACAATAAATAGTTACCTAAATTTGAACTATTTAGAGCAAATTTTTCAATAGTCAGATAAATGTTATCTGTGGAATAAAATTGGTGCTGTCCCTGTCTTATACAAACATTCAGACGCGACAGCTCATAATTATTCCCCAGTTAACTTTTATCTAACCATTGAAAAATCAGCCCTAATTCTATTGAAAGCTGATAAATAGGAGATCGGACTAGATACTAGATAAACTCAATACTTTTTATTTATTAACATTTTCAATTATGAAGATACCAAATTATTATTGAGAACTATAAAATTCAAAAGATTTAAAAACATAATCGCGATCGGGCTCACGGTTAAAAGCCCCGGTGTGACGCCGAAACTAGTCGGGCATGCTCGAAAATATTAGTCGACTAAGTTTAGAAAATATTGTTAAAAATAATATAAGTTTTAAGTTTTCTAAGTATAGTAATGATGTTGAAATAATCTATAACCTAGTCCAATCCCGATTCTTTGAAAATACTCCTAGACCTATCTAAGAGATTAGAATTAGCACCAGCGAATTGATTTTGTGTTTAAGCTATTTTTTTTTTATTTACGCAGTGTTGTGACAGTATCGTTGTATTATTTGCCTCGTTTAAAATTGTACCAAAAACAGATACAACTTAAATTGGTAGATAATTGAGAAGGCTTTTTTGTGAGAGGAAAATTATCAAATGACTTCTGGCGAAAGGGAGTGTCAGACTCTTACTGACTAAAAACACCCTGTTCCTTCTACTGGTCAGGCTGAGGCCGCAAAAACCCCCCTGTTCCTTCTCCTGCTCTGGGCCGAGGTCGCGGTGCCTCGTTGCTTTTACCCCGCAACCCCGGCTGAACATCAGCCCTATAGGGGCCCGTCTGTGGTGGTCTATTGGCTCTTTGAGGCGCGCGCGGAACGCTACGCGCCATTCTCTTTTTTAATATCTGTTAGTTAAATGCGATATATAGCGGTAGCCTTGTGGTTGGAATTTCAAATTTGGATATATTTTTTAAGAATGTCATAAGGGTACTAACTTTTTACGCAACAATTTGAAACGAGACAACTTACAACAGAGAAGTATATTAGTGTGATGGTAAAATCACTCTTAACCATATCTACGCAAGGCATGTATTCGCGTAACAACATTGAACTGCAATGGGCATTGAACAATTTTTTCGACCCTCATTTTTTATTTAAGATTTCGATAATATAGAGCATTCTAAGAAACTAATTTGAATAATTATTATTTTTATGGAGTCGTTCTATTTTTATAAATTATTTAAAATTAGGAGTAACTTTCTTACGGTGACGTCATCATTTGGCTGTATAATTCACGTATCTGTGGCCTTTCAATTAAAAAATTTTTTTGACGTTAGAGAAATGTCAATAGGTTGTCAATCTGTTCATTAGTGTCATACAGTACAGTAAACAATAAACTTCTTTCAAATAAATACCACGCTATCATTCATCTTGTTTGTAAATCATTTTATAAACTTTCTGTTTTTTACGAACGGTTTACCATGACTGACAACTTCGAGAAAGCTGACTATTTTTTGAGTCATTTTTACATGTCGGAATGAAGCACTTCCTATATTCCATAGTTTTTTGGTGGTAATTTCGCTAGACGCTAAATAGAATAATCGAATGTTTTTAGAGGTTATGTTTATTGTTTATATATCTTGACACTTTTGACAGTTGTAAACTGTCGTGTAAGTGTGTGTGAGCGTGTGTATTATATTTGATGGCAAAGGAATTCTCCCTTTAGAGCCAAACGATGACGTCACTAGAGGTCAAATAAAGGTTATTTACTTTTAGCGATAAATAACAATAATCCGTGAATATTTTACTATTTTAAACGCTAAATTGTCATGAGTGACCCTATTCCTCGAAACGGATTTCATATTTACTCATAAAAAAAAAATGAACAATCCCCATTGTATTAACATTATCAACAACCGCTACTCAAAGATTCGTTTCACAATTTTAAGTTCTATTACATTGAAATAAGGCTTACGGTATATGTAACAAATTTACTTGTGCTATTAATGACATTCTTATTTTTTAGGCAATAGAACTCAAAATTGGTTTTTATAAGTGTTAAGTGTTGGTTATTTTAATAGAGTATGGGATTTCGCGCGTGATTATACTAGGGTAGCAGAAAAGGTATTTAGTATTTTCATATTCTATCTAGATATAAGAAATGACTTACAAATGTGCAATGTAATCTACTGTAAGTATAATGCCATACGCGTATGCTTAATAGAAAAAAGGCCTAATTCAAAAGAGAAGGTATTCCGATCTTCAAAATTATGTTTAAGTAATAAGGTTCAATTTTGTTATACACTCTTTTATGACTTAGTTCTCTTTTCTATTAAACATGGAAATGTTATACATATATATTTACGTAGTAAAATTTACATCACTTATTACTTATAAGGACCGCCCGACCGACTCTGATTGTGATTATGTGTTATTGCATTTTTTTTGTAACACAGTAGATTACATTGCCTTTAAAGTCACATTTATAAGCCTTCCCTGAAAAATAGCGATTTGACTAATATTCAGAAGGAAGAAAAGCCTTGGATTATTATTAGAACATTAAATTTAAAGGACAGTGACAGTTAACATTTTTAATTTAGTGACAAAAGGGGCAACTTTACATTAGGTTAATTAGAAATGGTTGGAATTTGCCAGGTCCATTTTAAACTTTAAGATCTTGAAATTACGTTATAATCTCAAAAAATAAATAAATGTAATTAATATTGAATATTGTTATGAAGTAACGTATTTGAAGAAAGAAGAAACAGAAAACATAATTAATAAATTCCACATTACCTGTCATCTTACTATCCAAGTAAAATCCCACTATCTTAGTCAGATCTTCAAATACAAGCAATATAATTCACAATAAAACTCCTATTCCAAAGTCCATAACAACACATCAAAAAACCAGCAAAACTATCCCAAATAGATCTCACTATCACAGTAAGATTCCACTATCGCTTTCAGATTCGACTATCAAAGCAAGACATCACTATCCCATAATCGCACTATCTTATTTAGATCTTACTATCGCAATCGGTTTCGACTATCATAGTAAGATTTGAATTTGTTCTATTTAGGAGAAAGTGTCGTTGACTTGTCTGCAGCATCTTATGAAGGTCGCTCTTCTTGGGAGCTCGCGTAAGTGGGCGGCTCCTACGTAGGTACAGGCAGACCTCAGTCCGCCTAGAATGTCCTTGACTGTAGCCCCTACATCACCTCGATATTCCACTTCTACGGTTTTACCTGTAATGTGACAATGGAAAAAATAAGTTTCTCTTTTTAAAGGTAATGTACGTTGTTTTATTTAGGTTGTTGGGGTGAGCCATGCTTTAAGTGGGATGGGTTAACTCGAGCGGTGTAATACCACGGCCTCACAGAAAACCGGCGTGAAACAACCACAGCGTTGTTTCACTATGTGCGTGAGGTTACCGGAGCACCAATCCTCCCCCATCCCCAATCCCAAATCCCCAAAAAATCGGCAACGCCCTTGTTTCATATTGACTCTTCCGTTGTTGCGGGTGTCCATGGGCCGCGCTGATTGTTTACCATCAGATAATCCGTCTGCTCATTTGCCGTCCTATCACGTAAGAAAGTGCATACGGACCACCTGAGGGAAAGCCATCAGCGCTGCAACATACCATAGAGGTCACAAGTGCTTTGCCGTCGTTATTACTAGGATTATGCTAAAATACTACTATGAGTAGCATCAAAACCCTAGGGTCCGCTGTACATATGGTGAGCTCTAGTTCGTTACTCACCATATAGAAAACTACCTAATTACGCCCTTATTTAAGACCCCAAGCTTAAAAAACTTTCAGCCGGGGTTGCGAGGTAAGCGCAATGAGGCACCGCGACTTCGGCCCAGAGTAGGAGAAGGAACAGGGGGGTTTTTAGTCAGCAAGCGTCTGACACTCCCTCCCGCCCGGCCCTGGGCGGGAGAAGTCATTCGATGATTTTCCCTTCACAAAAAAAAAGCTTACAAAACTATAAACCGAATGCACTCTTCTCTTACCTTCCGAAGACCGGTACTCGGCGATTCCACCAGAATGTTTCTGCATGGCAGTTGACGAGGACATGCCGTAGAACAGCTTAACTTTCCTCCCGTCAGCAGTGGTGACGACATCGCCACCACATTGGTCGTGACCGGCGAACATTCCACCAGCCATCACGAAGTCGGCACCAGCTCCAAATGCTTTCGCTACGTCACCAGGGCAAGTACATCCACCATCCTGAGAATGTAACACTAATCAATAAACAAATGACTACTTTTGGAAAAAGAATCCCATGTTTTTAAAACAAAATTAATTAGCCTTAGCGTAACAAAAACTGTTTTGATTTGAAATGGCCAGTACTGCAGAACGGCAATTTCATAGGTAAAGACCTATTATTATAAATGTGAAAGTTACGATGTTTGGATGTTTGTTACTCAATCATGCTAAAACGGCTGGACGAAATTTTCTATCAAACATTCAGAATCAACATTTTTAAATCTTGAATTATTAAAACTTTGATGAGACGCAAGACGACTTTAAATTACACTAACCTAACAAAAAAAAATGAAATCCTGTTCGTTGATATCACTAAATCTCGAGAACAGCTGGGCCGCTGCGGCTAATTTCGTTTTGAAATATTCGTGAAAGTCCAGTGAAGAATTAAAAGGTCAGAAAACATTAGAAGTTTTCTTGGTCAGCTAATGTTTTATAAAGCTCTCTTTTGTAACGATTTTGATTAGAAAACAATCGCTAAGGACGGCGTTAAGTAACCATTAAATGACTCTGAGTACGATGGGTTAGGGAATAACAATCACTTACCGATATTATATGTCCTTTAAGACCGTGCGCTGCGTCTGCGCACTCTATGACAGCAGACAGCTGTGGGTAGCCCACACCGGTTTTGATGCGAGTAGTGCACACTGATCCTGGTCCTATTCCCACCTGTGGAAGACAAAACGACGAATGGAAGTCAAAATCAAAGTCAAAGTCGTTTATTCCAAGTAACAATCAGTGTGGAAGAGCCAAGCTTCGGCACGAATGGGTCGGCACGACTGGAGCGACACCACGGCCTCATAGAAAACCGATGTAAAACAACCATAGCGTTGTGTTTTGCCGTGTGAGTGAGGTTACGGGACGCCCAATCCCTCCCCCACCCCAATCCTTAAATATCCAAAAACCTTATCCCTAAACGGCCGGCAACGCACTCGTTACTCCTTTGGTGTTGCGAGTATCCATGGGCGGTGCTGATTGCTTACCATCGGGTAATCCGTTTGCTCGTTTGCCAACACAATACCATAAAAAACTAAACTATAAACAGGTACTTTTGAAACGTTAAAATAGTATATCAGTCTGTCAGTTCGTTCGTCAGTAAAGCTAGGTGCTCATTTCAAAGCGTAGATTCGAATGGAAAAGAACGAGCAAGAATCTCCATTTAACTCCATTCTTTTTTAAGGGACTTAAATTTTTTATCCTTCTTCTACTTCTTCTCACAAATTATCTTTTTTCGTTGGGTTTTATCCGGCTTACCCTCCTGCATATTATTTCAATGATGACAATGTCTATAACAGTTTGACAGTGAAAATTGATCTGTGCCGGCCCTAGTACTGCGAGCTGCTAGCCGAAGCAGCAATACAAACTCAAATAAAGTTTATTAAGCAGTTGCTTACCTTAATAATGTCAGCTCCGGACAAAATTAATTCTTCTACCATTTCACCGGTCACTACATTTCCGGCCTGAAAAAAACAATAAGATATAGAGCTGATTTTTTAATGGTTAGATAAAAGTTACCTGGTGAATAATTATGATGCTGTCGCGTCAGAATGTTTGTATTGCAGTGACAGCAACAATTTTATTCCTAAGATAACATTTATCTGATTATTGAAAAATCAGCCCAAAGTAAGTTTCCTTAAAAACAATACTTCATTGTATATTCAATAAATTTTATTTATTTTATTTATTTATATTTGCGTTTCAATAATAAGGAATGGTAAATTGGTCAGGGGCAGGAGCCATAGTATTTCCATAGTTATCATATCTACCAGTCCATAACCACCTACACCCATAGCCAAATCATTTTCTACCATATTGCACAATAGTCCTGAATCAACCGGGGTTTGTTCTTCGATGCACTTGCATAGTGCATAAATTGATAATTACCGGCTGATGTCCCATTTCACTAATATTAAAGTCGTTCAAAGGGCGTCTGCGAGTTGGCTTCGGCCCCTTGTACGCCTTCTAAAGGTCCGGGACCCTGTGGTCCCGTGAATGGAAACGAACACACAGAACGCACTAAATGAAATGTGTAATAGGTAGTAGAGTCACTTTTCTCAGGTTTAGGTTATGTTGCGTGGGTTTTCGATGGATCGGAGATGGAAGGAAACGAATCTATTGTTACGAAAGTCTGTGTATATTATAGTAAAAGCAAATAGAATAAGGTTTGGTGACATAAAATGAAAGTAACATACAACACGATAACTGGGAGCGAGCGAGAGCCGCGACAGACGTATATTATTACTTGTGCTGCGCACTGCGGCGTCGGCGCGACTAGTCAGCGTTGCGTACCTACATGACCGGCGGCGGCCGGCGCTGGCGCGTTGCGCGCGCAGCCGTTTCTAACCGTGCGGCCGCGCCTGTACATTGTACACGCTCCGCAAACCCTCTCAACGACCGCGCGCTACAAATGTTAAAATTCTAACCTATTTTTAGGGAATATCTAACCACCCTCTTGTAATTTACCCCCCTCTCATAATTTTAACAACTTTTCGATTCCCGCACAGAACAACTCTGAGTTTTTTTATGTAATATGTCGGCAAAGTGGACACCACAAGGTAGGCGAAAACTTGGCCGTCCTAAGCAAACGTGGCTGCGCACAGTGGCGGCGGAAATAAAGAGGATAGGACTGTCCTGGTCCGAAATTAAGCACATAGCCCAAGATAGGTCCCAATGGAAAAATACTGTGGAAGCCCTCTGCCCCCCCTAGGGGACATAGGAACTTAAGTAAGTCATGTCGGCAAACGAGCAGACGGATAACCTGATGGTAAGCAATCAGCGCCGCCCATGGACACCCGCTACGGAGGAGTAACGAGTGCGTTGCCGACCTTTTAGGGATTAGGGATTTGGAGATTTGGGGATTGAGGAAGGATTTGGGGAGGGTAAGGATTGAGAATCCGGTAACCTCGCTCACACGGCGAAACACAACGCTGTGGTTGTTTCATGCAGGTTTTCTGTAAGACCGTGGTATCACTCCGGTCGAGCCGACCCATTCGTGCCGAAGCATGGCTCTCTTACACTTAGAGTGTCCCACAAATTGTTGTTCCGGGTCTGGGTGTGATGTGTATGGGAATTTGTATGTTTGTAAACGCAACCACGACAGGAGAAAATCCTAGTGTAGAGAAACGTTTTTTTAGCCGATAATATATGTTTTTTCCTCGCGTTGTTTTCTTCATGGCCATTACCTACCAGATATGGAAACAGAATATATAGATCGATTTTGTAAATTGCCCATGACATCCATTCTTCCAATAGACATACCTATCTACAATCTTAATGGAATGAAACTATTTGAGTTTCATGGCATCAAAGCCAACAACTCACTTGCGGCTCTGGTGTTGCGGGTGGTATATGACAGTGCTAAACGCTTTCCATCATGTGATCATTTACCAATCTAATCTAAGTAAAAAACAAACTCGCTTTCTTTGCCCCTATATCCCTATGTACGCTTAAATCTTAAAAACTGCGCAGCGGATTTTAATGTTATTATTTTTAACATCCATGAAGTAGTTTTGTATCACCACTACAACCTTGCGAAGCCGGGGCGGGTCGCTAATCTATATCTATACTAAATTATAAAGAGTTATGTAAGTTTAACTGTTTGTAAGTTTGTATGTAGGCGTAATCTTTGGAACCGCTTTTCGGATTACCAAAATTCTTTTACTGATAGATATAGCTACAATGTTCCTGTATGCTATAGGCTATAAAACATCACGCTACGAACCAATGGAGGGGAGTAGCGGATGAAACCGCGCGGGAGTAGATTACACTATTTATAACTCAAGAACTGCTGAACCAATTAGGCTAAAAATTGGTAAGGAGGTAGCTAAGAACTGGGAGAAGGATATAGGGTAGAGTACGTAGTGTAGTGTAGGGTAGGGTAAGTAAGATAGGGTAGGTAGTGTAGTGTAGAAAGAGTAGGGTACGTAAAGTAGGGTAGGTAAAGTAGATAGTGTAGGGTGAAAAGTGTAGGTAGGTAACTAGGTTGGGCAGTCAAATGACGGGAGCGAAGCCGCGGGCGAGAGCTAGTTTTCAAAAAACTTAATATGTCTCCCGATAGTTACTATCCAAAAAAGAGGCCCATTGTTATTGGATAATAGTAGAGATTTTCTCGTAAAGTTCAACATCAGCCTATAAGTGCCCACTGCTGAGCAAAGGCCTCTTCTCATACGGAGAAGGTTAGAGCATTAATCACCACGCTTGCTCAATGCGGGTTGGCGATTTCAAACTTATAATTAGATATTATAAGTCCGGGTTTCCTCACGATGTTTTTCTTTACCGTATGTCAGTGGTGTCTAAATAATCATAGAAAGCACCTACATATAACTCGGCAAAAGTCACATTGGTACTTGCCAGGTTTCGAAGCCGCCCCCTCATGCATGAGAAATGGGCTCCTTAACCTCCGGGCCACCACGACAGTTACAAATTTTACCTCTTTATAATATTAGTAATTTAGTATAGATGTTAATGTTATGTTCTATTCAAAAAAGAGGCCAAGTGTGATTGGAATGTACAGTCAGGGATCAAAAATACAATTACACTCTACCAATTTTAAAATTACTAAAATTTCTTTGTACTTAGTAATAGTTCAATGGTTCACAGCCAGTTTATTCAATAATTTAGATTCTATGCTATAAATTAAAGCAGTCCTCCACCATTGACTCTATTCTACAAAGATATTTTGGTCATTTTAAAATTGGTAGATTGCAATTGTATTTTTGACCCCTGACTGTACTTAGTAGAGCTTTTCTTGTGAAGTGAATTTGTGTAAACCGTGTGGTTCTTTTTCTACTTACAATGATAGTATGGGTTGGGAAGGCAGCTCGAACTTTTCTCACGTATTCAACAAAGTGTTGCGAATATCCATTAGCCACGTCTAAGCATATGAACTTCAGGTCTTTTATGGTGTTTAGGATCTCTGTCAGCCGCTCGAAGTCCGCTTCTGCTGTGCCAGAGCTGGCAGCTGGAAATACATTACATCATCAATAACAATAAGGTAGTATGCTAGGTCAAAAATAAATCAATCCGACGTTTCAATGCAATAAAATATCGAAAAATAACTACACTTTTATTCACCGATCGATCGATACACTCATTATTAATTTTAGGTATGTGTTAGCTAATTATTAAGAAATAAGTAAGCTATTTGACGCTAAAATACTATGACGTTATAACTAAGTTCTTCATACAAATTTCATAGAAAAGTATAGTTTTTGACATTTGGATAAAAGTATTGAATTTAACTAGTTGGAAACTACCCTATTATCAACAACAAATTATTGTGAAACAGATTGAAAAAATCTTCTTTAATTAGAGTCACGTTTCACTTACTCTAGTATTGCGAGTGTCTATTGCAAATTCAATGGCAATGGCAGTGGCATAGTCAAAGTCAAAGTCAAAATCAAAAGTCGAAGTAAAAAAGTCCAATCATTAATTTTGAAGTCAAAAACGTCAAGATCAAAACACTTATTTTAATAAAATTTCCAGTAAATAATTTGGAATGATAACATTGTTACAAGAAAGGGAATTTTTAACCACACCTCCATTTAGAAATTTATATACCTATGTAACACAACTATTTTAATATTATGTCAAAACCTATTTCAAAAAATGAACTTCATCGTTTACATTGACTCCGCAATTCTATACTAGATGGCGTTGTGCGTATGACGTCATATTTTAGATGGCGGTGTTAAGATTCTCCGCGACTTAATGACCTCCGCCAGTACATTTGTGTTTGGGTGAAGACTACTATCAAGGTGCACTCTCGGGCTACGTCCTATTTGGAATAGTCACTTGAGACTCCTCTGTTTAGCAAGTCGCGGACACTAATATACTTTTATCTCTCAATAATTGTATATTTTTTGGATTAGAGGACTGCATCCGCCACCTTCGTCCAAGCGGAAAAGGTTGTGTGGGACTGCGCCTATTTTATTTTATCGAAATATATACAAACGTTGGCAACATCGACCTTTCTTTCCTTTACGAACGCGTGACGACACCGGAACTACAACCCCCTTACACCTATAGATAGGATTTCAAGTTACAGTATTAAATAGAACCATTGCAATAAGGGTTATAACAGTACGCTCGTTTCTCCGCCCCCTATCTCATCGAAAAACGGTATTAGCACCACACACTGAGTAGGTCTGTAGGTATCATTAATCTTTGTAGTTAATTATATTGAATTGATATTGATCGCCTAACGTCAGGGACTAATTAATTAGTTTGAGGAAATACAAGCGGAATAAAACGTTGTCTACAATATTATTTTGTTATTATCATCACGCCTTTTAATCCTTGAAGGTGTAGGCTAATGTCTACGTGTGCATATACCACGTAAAATTTACTTTTTATGCGTTATTAATACCAGCTCGATGGTACCGTAATATTGTATGGCCATTCTAATCCTATTTTTGAATGGATGTTTGTAACTCTTTCAAGTTAAAACTACTGAACAGATTCAAATGAAATTTGACATAGATATAGAAAGAAAGAAACCCCCCCCCTATTCCTTCTCCTGCTCTGGGCCGAGCTCGCGGTGCCTTCTTGTGCTTACCCCGCAAACCCGGCTGATAGATTATATTCTGGTATAACACATAGGCTAGTTTTTAAGTGAGAACTGCGGGCGAAGCCGCTTACAAAAACTAGTCTACACATAATTGCGAAGTTTTATAAAGAATCAGTTGGCTGCACGACGTCGCCTAAAGGGCACGCTGCTCAAGAATAAAAGTCCCGGTGTGACTTAAAACTAGTCGAGTTTTTCTCACTTCATTCACGGTTATTCAAATAATTAAATAAATTTTATGAAGAAACATTAAAGAGGGCCTATAATACGGTATTTTTCCACTAGTCAAATTCAATACTTTTATCCAAATGTCAAAAACGATACTTTTCTATGAAATTTGTATGAAAAACTGAGTTATGACGTCATAGTATTCTTACGTCAAATAGCTTACTTATATCTTAAAAATCAGCTAAAACATATCTAAAATTCAGTGTATCGATCGATCGATGAATGAAACTATGTAGAGTTATTTTTCAATATTGTATTGTATTGAAACGTCGAATTAATTTATTTTTGACCTAGGAAACTAACCAATTAAAACTCTTCAATTAAAGTATACTAAAAGCGTGTGAAAAAAAAACAGAAATCAACTTACCCATCTGTTCTAAGCATTCTGGATGCTGTTCAGCGAACTTCTTCCACTCGTCAATGCTGTAGTACTTGTGTATGCAGGTAAATAGCCCGTGCTGTAACAAATAAATAAAAAAAATATGAACACACATTGATGTTAAAAAAAAGAATTGTAAAATTGATTGAAAAAGAGTAACCATGGAGTTTCTTGTTCGTTCTCTTCCATTGGAATCTACACTTTCGAACGAGCTAGAAATAGCTTCACTAGTGGACAGACTGATACACAAAGATGGACTTTTTGATATGTATCTCTTTTTTGTTTGTCGTTTAAAAGTGCTTATGGTGGTCAATCCAAACTATCCGAATCCAAACTAATATGAATCCAATCTAATACGAACTTGGCCTCACCACTCTTGAAAAGCGGAGACAGAGAGGAAACCTTATTGAGACTTACAAAATAATAAGTGACTGCTACAACGTTCCTGGACTTAAGAATATGTATCTTCTTAATAAAAATCGAAATTTGAGAGGACACTCATTAAAACTATGCAGAACATCCTCAAAACTGAATCCCTTGACACACTTCCTACCTAATTGGGTGGTCACGGAATGTAATAAACTCCCAGAAATGTGATAAAAGCACCCTCAGTTAATTCTTTTTAAAACAGACTCGACAAAATCTCCAAATCCATTAATACGCACGCATCAGCTTTCTAAGCTGCTAGTGTGTTCAAGTATATAATAATAATATTATAAATGCGATAGTAACTCTGTCTGTCTGTCTTTTCTTCACGCCTAAACTACTAAACCGATTTCTGCGAAATTTGGTACAGAAGACATAGTTTGGAACTCGAGAAAGGACATATGATAGTTTTTATACCAAAAGTCTGCAGAAAGTCACTATTCCACGCGAACGGAGTCGCGGGCAAAAGGTAGTTTGAAATAAATGATTTGACATTGACTTTATTGTATAAAAGAAATGCAGCTCAGATATGAAGGTATTTTACGCGTCTAACTCGTAAACGACTGCATAAAATTTAATAGACATTTGGAAAAGAAAAACAAATCTATAACAACACATGTAAGTAAAATTTAAACTGCAACAGTTTTTGCATTTCTTGGGATAGGTCGGCAAACGAGCAGACGGATTACGTGATATAGTAAACAATTGGTACCCGCTACACCAAAAAAGTTACGAGTGCGTTGCCACCCTTTTGGAGATAAGGGTATCGCATATTTAAGGATTGAAAAGAGATTTTTTGGGCCTCCGGAAAGCTAACTCACACGGCGAAACACAAAGCTGTGATTTATTCAGGACAGTTTTCTGACTTGTAAGTAAAATTGAAATTCTTACAATTAGTGTCTCTTAAAAAACGGATTATCGAATACAATAACAAGCGCTTTTCTCTAATAGTTACTTCACTGTTTATCCCTTCCGACGTAACAGAAAGAATAACAATAATTATTTATAATATATAGTCCAAGAGCCCGTAATAGCCAGACCTTCGGATTTTTATAAAAGCTAAGAGTTCTTCTGTGTATGTCCCCAATACAGGTAAGAAAGGTCCCCACCCATGAAACCTGGGTAGTGGTGGCTTTGGCAGGTAACAGGTAGCAAAGGTGTATAAAATTCCACCTAAAATTTATTAATTTATAAAACTCAATTTTTTTATATTTTATTCGTGATAATATTAAAACTCGCGTTGCTCATTGCCAGACACTTAATATGGTTACAACCCTCTGCCGGACACCCCTGAACTATTATAATTTGTAACTATACTTACGTTATATTATAAAAGCTAAATTTTATATATGTTTTTTGGACAACTATTAAATATTATTTCCTTAATAGCCAGACAATTTCGAGGGTTACATCGTCCAGCCAGACGTATTAAATGTGTACAATAGTTATGAGTGAGAGGAGTATATGCAGCAACGGGTGCGAGTGAGATAGAGCGTGCAGTCTATTGCGATTTACTGTTTTTAATTCCGAATTTTTCAGTAACATTTTTTCTATTTTTTTGGAGAAATTTCATTGAATAAAATTAATACAGTCTGAATAATAAATTTTTAAAGTAATATTCCGAAAAATTTTATAAAAAAATATTAATCATTCTTTACATCTTTTTAATTTTATAAAGTTTATTATATTCAATTCAACTAAAATTTCAAGGCCATAATAATTTATTTGTTAATTGTACGAAAGAATAATTTCTTTGTGAGTTAGAAATTTACAGAAAAATAAATTCATTTAAATTAAATATTCAAAAATCTTCTTCATTGTCATCGTTGATGTTGACATTTTCATTTTCGTCGTCACTGCTACTCCACTCCCTAAATTCATCGTTATCAACATCGTCTTCTTCGCCTGCTTCTGCAATAGTAAAATCAAGTTAATTTAATTTTAATTAGTCACAAATTAATGTAAAATAATTTATCATAATTATTATATACCTGATACAGTTTTTAGAGATTCACTGACATAATTTGGTAGTTGATCTCCTTCAAACCATTTAAAATGGTATTCATCATTTTCCAGAATCCAACCATTATTTACTGGCTCATATGTTGTAGGGTTTTTTAAATGAGCATTATTCCAGATACAACATATATAATTTGCTCGCAAAAATTGCTATAATAGCTCACTTTTACAAGGTGGTAAACTACTTGCGTCGAAATTTCGCAATTTTTGTCGATTAAAAGCTTCGTTCACATCAGACACTGTATAAGAATCGATAAAAATTTGTAGTGTATATTCTCAACATTGTATAAATAGCATATAAAACTTTGAATAACATTATAAAGGTCTTGTTGTTCAATATTACCTTCGATGATTTTGCTGTCACCAAACTTCATGAAGGCTTGCTGAAATTCTACGTATTTTTTTAATATCTTTTATGGTTTCAATTTCGCTTTTCTAAAAAATGAAGGATTGTAATCACATCCTGTAATTGCATGTAATCCAGGTAAGCTTCTACAAATTGATTCTCCCAATTTTTCGTATATCTTAGTTAGGTTCACATACCTCAAATTATTTCCAGTTCCTGTAAGCATCCAAACTTGCGACTCATCATTTAGACGGTGCATATGACCCAGCATTATAGCAGCAACATCAGTATCAATAGTTCGGATTATAATGTTTGCTTCATAGTTGATTTTGCACGCATGGTACACTATCTTGGTATCTGCTTCTTCATGCTCCGGGCATGACAATTCCTCAGTGATACTTGATATAACTTTGTTTGTCTCATTAACCATGGATGAATGACACTTTCTGAAATTGATATGTATTATTTTGCCACCAATAAACGGCGCCATTTCATCACTAGCCCAATGTGAAATGAAAAAATCAACTAGAGCTTCTTTAAAATTTCACTTTAACGAAGTCACTAGGACGAACTTGTTCAGGCCCAGTGATGGTATACTCTAATTGTGCCGATTCAAATTCGCACTACATAATACACAATGAGCAGCTGATGCGCAGTAAAAGTCGCAATAGACTGCACGCTCTATCTCACTCGCACCCGTTGCTGCATATACTCCTCTCACTCATAACTATTGTACACATTTAATACGTCTGGCTGGACGATGTAACCCTCGAAATTGTCTGGCTATTAAGGAAATAATATTTAATAGTTGTCCAAAAAACATATATAAAATTTAGCTTTTATAATATAACGTAAGTATAGTTACAAATTATAATAGTTCAGGGGTGTCCGGCAGAGGGTTGTAACCATATTAAGTGTCTGGCAATGAGCAACGCGAGTTTTAATATTATCACGAATAAAATATAAAAAAATTGAGTTTTATAAATTAATAAATTTTAGGTGGAATTTTATACACCTTTGCTACCTGTTACCTGCCAAAGCCACCACTACCCAGGTTTCATGGGTGGGGACCTTTCTTACCTGTATTGGGGACATACACAGAAGAACTCTTAGCTTTTATAAAAATCCGAAGGTCTGGCTCTCACGGGCTCTTGCTCTAATAGGTATAACATTCCAAGAAGGTTCTTACAAAGAGAACTATTATATCAACAGCGACATCTGTCGGATCAGCTAGTAGATTGTAATAACAATACAACATTGCAACAATAGAGTACTTATTTTTAACAAATCAACATTGTAGAACAACATTAATACAATACACAGGGTTTTGTTGTTCATTTTTATAAATAAATATTCCGGTCAATTTAGACATCCGAGGTTACAATAATTCTCACCTAGCTGAAAATTATTTAATGTATCAAAAACGGTCGTACTTACGTACGTAGGCAAGTATGTAGCCATTTTTGCAGTCTATACTTATATTATAAAGCTATAAAGTTTGTTTGTTTGTTTGAACGCGCTAATCTCCGAAGCTACTGGTTCGAATTGAACAATTTGTTTAGGTGTTTGTTAGTCAATTTATGGAGAACGGTTATAAATCATGACGCTACGATTTGGAGCCAAGCAGCAGGTGAAACCGCACCAGAGTAGCTAGTCAATAATATAGATGTACTTTGTGGTAGATCTCACCGAGTCGCTGACAATCGCGAAAGCCCCGTTTTCGTGACCTTTGACGTCGATTACATTTTTTCCGCGCGTCGGATCGATTTTTCACATTTTATTAATAGTTGTGTTTTGAACAATCCTACCTTTTTCGTGTGTTACGCATTGTTGCACCTTATTTTTGGTCTGACCACACAACGCAAGATAATTCCGATGTAAGTGAATACGAAAAAGAGATTACTTAATCCATGCTTTGGTATACATGAATCGGCTCGACTGGGGTTATACCACGGCCTAACAGAAAACCGGCCTTAACCAATATTGCGTTTCGCCGTGTGAATGAGGTTACCGGAAGCCTCCCCCAATCCCTAAACCTTCCAAACCCTTATCCCCAAAAGGTCAGCAACGCACTCGTAACTCCTCCATTGTCGTGGGTGTCTATGGATGGCGCTTATTGCCTACCAATAGTCCGCATGCCCGTTTGCCGACCTATTACAAAAAAAATACTCTGTCGTGGACAAAGTTACTACAATGTATTTTAGTAGCTATGTACGTTTGTTGATACTGCACTGTACTAGACGCACATAAATAAACATTGCACACATAAATATTTAGATTATACTTTG